TATAATATTTTTTATGCAATATCTGCTTTTCAGCTTCATTTTAAAAAATAATATAGATTCTGTTTTGATGCAAAATTTGAAAAAAAACATATATTAAAATGTATATTTAAGATAAATACTACAAATACGTGCATTTTTGTGTTTCAAAGTGATGGCTGAATTTGCTGCTGAAAGTAAACCCAGAGTTAAAGCCCTCGCCATTTATTTACTCCCATTCTGTTTGGAAATGCAATTGTGACTTGAATTTCATGGTTTGATTGCTGAATTGTTGAATTTTGATTGTGTAATTGCATCACATACCTTCAGAATATGTGTAGGTAACAACTTGCCCATCCATGTAAACTGTTATAGTGTCATTGTCTCCGATATACCACTCCACCTAAATATTTAAAATGAAAATAAATGTCAAGAACTACAAGAATGATGATTCTATGTTTCTTTAAAGCGAAGGGAACTATTTAATTTTAACAATGTGTTGGACAATGCAGGCATTAGGTAACTCATCACTGGGGAACAGTATACACCTTGAGAATGTTCCCATAATAAATACTGTACACAGAAACAATGAACTGAATAGATGTTTACCATGCCATGTCATATGCTCTATTTTTTTATTCTCTAGATTAATATGTATTAAGTATTCCAGCGTAATACATACCATCCTCTAAATCCTCATGCTACCGTAATACCTGTAGAAAACCCACTACATTTTGCTAATCTATATCATATTGTTCATTCTGTTTTATAAGTATTACTGTGTCCCCTGCTTTATAACACATTCTCAAATATTTAATGTCACAGTACTTTAACTTTTAATTCTCTAAGGGTATAGTAATGGGCACTCACTGTAACATTTGCAGTGTTGGATATGTACTCTGCAGCAAAAGCTTCAAAGTTAGTAGCCCCTGCCGTGCCAGTCTGCACTGTGCGACCCTGCAGAGTAAATGAAATGTCCGAATCTGCTGCACCAAGGACAAGAAACTCTCCTAATCCATTAAAGGTGTAACTGAATCCATCGAGAGTGGTAATGTGTGGGTCTCCATACATCCATCCTGATGAGGAAAACACAATTTAATAGGGTACTTTATGAAACATATTATATAACATGCTGTCCACTGTATTAACTAGTCTTTTCTCAACCTCTGTCCATGGTTTTCAATCAGATACCATAATAAATGTTTGGCTTTACAGTAGACTGTGACCTGTTATCTAAGGTTATATATCTTTTGCTTGGACCTATAGCTCCTCAGTTGTTTATTCAACTGGAGTGCAGAGACAATGCACACAAAAAATCAGCAATTAGTGCCAAGAATATCTATCATAAAATTTCTTAGGAGTATCCCCTTGCATGTTTCTATTTAATGAGGGCATTGTCCCAATATGAGAGCCATACTAATAGGGTAATGGATGCATGTATAAATCAGCCCAGGGTTACAGAAGGGTACTCCAAATGAAGATCTCCGGATGCCCCTGCTGCATGTGTAGTCCAGCCAAGTCCACATGGAGCACATGACGGTATTGAGGAAACACATGAATGGGGCTGGAATGGGACTGGAGAGTCACACGAGAGATATGAGAGCTGAAGAGACATGTGGGGAATGATGAGATAAATGAGGGATATAAGGGGTTGAAGAGATACATAAAGGGGGCTCGTAGGGAAAGATGGAAAAGTGGGGGAGAGCAAGTGCGGTAAATATATATTATGCAAAGTTGTAAAGAAAATGTGAACGTAGGGAGAGAGGTGAAGATCAGGAACAACAAAAATGCACTTTGAA